GAAACACTACAAGCCCCACTATGGGTTAATAATAAGGTAATACAAAGTGTGATTAATATAGTTACCCCACTACTACTTTCCTTACCAGTAATTCAGCTTATTGGTAAGGAAATAGTGAGGAAGTAAGAAGAAACATGCTAGAATTATTTTCATTCAGACATTGCAGAATTAACAACTGATAGTAGTTAATTGGAAATTGGCTAAAAGAATCCTCTACTTTAAAGGCTATTGACAAAATTTCTCATTGTTAACAAAAAGTGTTACTATTTTCTGTCCTGGCTTGTGACAAAACTTAAATACATTACCAGGAATAATTGGAATAAAACTGTGTTTTCCTATCTAATGGTTGATGATATTGCCACAGCTCTGGATTTTGGACTCAACTCAAGGCCTTACCCGCTCATTCAAACAGAAAATTAGCAACAACCAACTGTTTCTAAACTAACTTCCATTTGCTAATGATTAATACTTTCTTTATAACTTTGGTTGCTTTTGTTTACATTTTACTTGATTGGAATTTACAATACTAATGTCACTGAATTTTGAAATTCTGCATCTATCAAATAAAATTCTAAAACACAAATAATGAAGTAGGCATTGTTATTTCTAATATGCTAGCATTACAATAACATTTTGGCACTTAACTCAATGTAAATGCAATACACATATGTATGTGTATATGCACGTGAATATACACATGTGCATATGTATATGGTGTATCCATATAACCACACATGTTTAAATATTCACCCACACACTTTTAAAAGTACATATGCATTATATGTAGCCAAGACTTTATTTTTAATTATCATAAGGGAGTTCATCGGGATTATTTTCATAAATTCCCACAATATATCCTGATCAATATTACACCCTCTACCACTTTCTCTTCTTAAAATAACTTCAACAGGGTTCACAGTTCTGTTTCTGTACATGCGTAGGAAGTACTTTAGCCACATTAATTTTCTTTAGCCTCCACATTGGTCCTCCATTCCCACCACTTTCCAGTCATTAATTTTCCTTGGTGAATAATGTACAAAGAAGCTTCTCTATGATGATACTATGTCTTTTGATATTAAAAGAGAATGTAATCTGACAAGTGCTTCAAAGCTTTCAGGATAAGAGTATTTTACAATATTGCATCTAACAAGTAGTACCTAATTAGCACATAAATGTAATTTATTATTATTATTATTATTATTAGGCTGGTCCTGGGGCTTGAACTCAATGCCTGGGCACAGTCCTTGAGCTTTTATGGCTCAAGACTAGCAATCTACCACTTGAGCGATAGCTCTACTTCTGGTTCTTGGGAGGTTAATTTAATTAGAAGTAAGAGTCATGGATTTTCCTGTATGGGTTAATTTTGAGCCACAATCTTAGATCTCAGCTTGCTGAGTAGCTAGGATTCCAAGCATGAGCACTAGTGCTAGACTTATTTTGGTGGAAAATTTAGCTCAAATGCATAATTTTTCTAGCAACATGTCCCTCCCCCCCACCCAAAAAAAAGGTATACAACTCATTTGGAAATTTTAGAAGCTTTGAGAAACCAGCTGTGCTTCTTCCTGTCTCGCCACCAACCTTTTCCTGTACCAAAACATGTTTCTCAATATGAGTGGACATAATGTCTGAATAACATAACTACAGATTGTGACCAACATTACTGACTTTATGTTAAAATCTTAGTCAAGTAAAGATTTTCTCTATCTAGTTCAAGAGTTTCCAAAAATCTCACTAATAAAGACAACATTAACTTAAGAATTTAGTATTTGAGAAACTGGAATCAGAAACATCCTGTTAGGAGCAGAGTACTCTACAAGCTGATTGGAAAAATCTGAATGAATCTATGATACCTAAATCAAAATCTGAAAGGATATATACAGGACAAACATGGAGCTTGGAGACCATGACTCATGCCTGCAATCTCATCTGAGATTACATTTTAAGATCAGCCTGGGCAGATAGTTACTGAGACTTCCACCTCCTAGCTTGGTGCAGTGGCACATGCCTGCCATCTCAAGAGAAGCTAAGAATAGAGGAACCTCAATTGCTAGAAATAAAGTCCGGGAGTGTGGTCTCCATGGAAAAGAAAGTGGATATACTGGAGTGTCCCTGTGATTTTAGCCAGAGCCAAAATCACCTAAAAGAAAATGAATTGTGGGTGAGGACCAGACATCTGGTAGAAGACAGATCCTATCTTAAAAACAGGCAGTGTAAAACAGAGCTGGAGTTGTGGTTCAATAGTAGCCTCAGTCCAAAATTCCCAGAACTACCTTGGAACTGCAGAAATAGTGCTGGAGGAAGAAGTGGTGGAGGAGGAAGGGGAGAGGAGGGAAGGGGGAAAAGAGGTAAGAAAGGAACAGGGAGGAGGAAAAGAGAGGGGAAGAGGCAGAATAAAAAAAATGAAGGAAGATTTTTTTTAAATTAAACCATTTACTTGATCTTTCTACAAAATTGATTGGTCCAAGTTCCAGTCCTACATATAAAGGGGAAGGAATGAATGTGTCTTGATATTAGAAGCCATTTTACTTATGCTTCAGAAGTATCCTGGTGTAATTAGGTAGGAGACATTACTGCTATTTTATTTGACTGGTTATTAGCTGTCTTAAATTTGAAGCAGCAGACACCTAGGGTGATAGACCACTTTCTTTTTATCTGGTCTTCAACTAATAACTGTGCAGATTAAGCCAGCCATTGCTGAACCTAAGAACACAAACATCACTAGTAATACTTTTAGAAATCAAAACAAAACTAACAGCAGTAGCAAAACATATACCAGTAAATATGGTAAGTTAAGCAAATATTGAAAGAACAATTACTCTACCTTAGTTTGAAAGATACAGTCTAATAACTGCCCCTCCTTCCCCAAAACACTCCACAACTCCAACCTTTAACAAATGCTACAAATATTTAATTAAAATTTTCCATCATAAAATAAGAAGTTTCCACATAAGAACAAAAACAGAACAGTTCATCTGTAGTTGACACAGAGGTTTCGACTCCTTCAAGTGCCCACAAGTACTGAACGCAGTGTCTACAGAGGTAGTAACTGATCAGGACTCCTCACTGATTTCACTGCTTTGGATCAGCATGTATTCTTTTTGTTTGTTTGTTTGTTTGGTCAGTCATGGGGCCTGAACTTTGGGCTTGTGCACTGTCCTTGCACTCTTCAGCTCAAGGTGAGCGTTCTACTACTTGAACCACAGCTCCACTTCTGGTTTTCTATTGGTTTATTGGAGATAAGAGTCTCAGGAGGGAGGGGCTGGGAGGGTGGCTCAGTAATAAAGTGCTTGCCTTGCATGCTTGAGGCCCTGGGTTCAATTGCTCAGCACCACAGAAGCAGAAAAAGCCAGAAGTGGCGCTGTAGCTCAAGCGGTAGAGTGTTAGTCTTGAGCTGAAGAGCTGAGGGACAGTGCCCAGGCCCAGAGTTCAGGCCCCATGACCGATGAAAAAAAAGAAAAGTCTCGTGGACTTTCCTGCCTGGGCTAGCTTTGAACCGCGATCCTCAGATCTCCGCCTCCTGAGTGGCTAGGATTACAGGTGTGAGCCACCTTTGCCCAGGTTAAAATAGTTTTACCTGGTACTATGGATAAATGTGACAACAATATTAACATCAAAATAAATGTGTTTTCCTAAAGTTATAATAATTATAACTAAGAATAAGTCATTATTAAGGTTCAACTAAACCAATTAAAGGGTGGGTTATGATTAAGTTTGAATCAAATGCTAAAATGGGGACCCAAAGGGGCAGCACTGTGCCAGATTGAAATGCTAATGAAGCTGTTTTGCAAAATTCATTTAAACTATAAACACATTCAAGAATTAAACTCAAGGTTAAACCTGAACTGATGTCACTAAATATCGGTTTCAGATATTATATCCTAGGAGGAGGGTGTGAGGAGATAACAGTGGCTTACGCCAAACCCAAAGAAAGATAGGCCGCATAGTTTCCCTTATTAGTGATAACTTGAATGTGCCTATTAATCTACAAGTAAACCCAATGGATAGTAAAAGACAAATAATTACACTTGTACATGATTAATTAAACAGCAATCTAAACATTTACACAGTGAGAGCTAAGGAGGATATTCCTAGGAGAGGATCATAATGACTCAATAGCTGTATGCATATGACCATACAAAAAGATGCTTATTGAAATGAACTCCAAGAAATGCAGTAAAAGATTTATATATATATATATATATTAATTGTAAAGATATTGTACAGAGGGATTACAATTACATGAATTAGGTCATGAGTACATTTCCTCTTGAGCATTGTCCCCCTCATCCTTCTATTCCCCCCCCCCAAGTTGTAGAGTTAGTGGGGGGGGGGGTTGTTTGTTTGTTTTTGTTGGTCATGGGCCTGAACTCTGGGCCTGCTGTCCCTCAACTCTTCAGCTCAAAGCTAGCATTCTACCACTTGAGCCACAGTGCCACTTGTGGCTTTTTCTGCTTATGTGGTGCTGAGGAATCAAACCCAGCCTCATGTATACAAGGCAAGCACTCTACCACTGAGCCACCTTCCCAGCCCCCTAGAGTTCGCTTTTTACATCTTGTACATCTTGTACATAGTGTCTTGTATCCTTGTTTCATCATTTTGTTATTTTTCTTCCCCTCCCCAAATTAGAAAAATGTATATACAAGATGCAGGGCACCAGAATCAAATACAATGAAAACAGGGGTTATACCAATTAGGAGGAACATACGAAAGAAACAGAAGAAATCACATAGTAAGTACATTATAAGTACATTAAAAACAACAGCATCAAAGACAAACCCTCATGTATCTCTATCTTGGGGTTCATTTCACTTAGTACCATCTTATCTGGTCATATGTGTATAGTTTTTGGCCTTTTCTTGTAGTAAAAGATTTTAGATTATGCTGTTTATTGTTCTTTTTCTCTTTTCTTTTTTTCTTTCCTTTTTTTCTTTGATTTATTCCTCTCTGTTTCTATTTTTTATTTCTGTACCCTTTGTCTTGTATGTAAGTTTATCCAATTTGGTGAACCAATTCATCAGTGAAACTCACTAGACACTATAATGGAAATTAACTATATAAGTTTTGGGGGAGGGAAGTTGGGAGAGGAAAATCTGGGAGAGAATGAGGGAGGGGATAACACTGCTCAAAAAGAAATGTACTCATTACCCGACTCATGTAATTGTAACCCCTCTGTACATCACCTTTACAATAAAAGTTAAAACAAAAACAAAAACAAAAATGTGGATGAAAAGCCAAAATTTAAAAAAAATCACATTCTTGTTCAACTCAGAAGATCTATGGTCCTATTAATAGCACTTGTTCAAACCCAATGAAATGGAGAACTAAACTGTATTCACTGTACGCAGGGAATAGCATAACCAATCTATATGGGTTTTGCAGCAGATATTCAAGAGGGATGATATCCAAAGTCTGATTTTCACATCTGAAGTTCACCATTCTAAGAAAATGTTAAATTGAGATGGATATATATGTTCAATTGTTAATTCAGTTGAATATCATACGAATAATACTATTCTAGCTCCTCCTTTCATTTGATCACAAATCATACTTTTTCTCATTTAGTAGAGCTTTCACTTGTGTCTCCAATAAGAAAACAAGAATAAAAAGCATTTTAGACCTCCCACTCCTACTTGGGGAAGCCAGTCCTTAAGTCTAATCACAGGGGTTGTTCTGAAGAGTAAATAAAGAACTGGTAACTGAGAAACATCTCTGCCTTTACCATCCTCAGACTAAATAAAGCAGAATGCAGGCTCATTAAAGCAGAAACTGTCAAAACCACCTGAGAAAGGCTTTGCCATTAGTTTTCATGGTCATTATGTCTATCCACTAGGAATATATAAACGATCTCACACAAGCTGAGCTCTGAATATCCTGTGCATCTGGAGGCCTAATGCCTCTCCTTGATGCTGCTTTATGAGCTTACATGACCAAACACTATAAACACTTAATGTTCTTTCTTCGGGTTTATCATTCAGAGTCAGATGACCTTTTCCAAAGACAAACCTAAGAGAGTTCTGGCGGCTACTTGCACTCCTTACCATAAAAAAAGGAGAGAAATTCCTTTGCCGTCAATTAAAATGAATTTCAGCTAATGGCAGAAAATAATAGTGACATAATTACTCTTAGACCCCACTAGAGATTATGTCTTGCTGGAACATCATGTGGAAATTATTGGGTACTATTTACCACAAACACTATAGGGAAAATACAGGGAGATAGACAAATTTCATAATTTTCAGAATATTCCACTTTTTGTGTCTCAAATATTAAAAAAAGAAATTTCAAATAGCATATGTCAAGACCTTTTAAAAATTGAATGTGCAGGTTATACACACACATACACGCATATATATATAGACATACTACTAGAGAGTCTAGCCATTCTAACTGTATAATATGTACAGTTGATTAATATTCAGAATATCCACATTGTGAATTAAATGATAAACCCTTTCAATCTGAAAACTTTTTAACTCTCTATCCATCAAACAACCCCTTATTACTCTCCCACTTCAGCTTCTTGCAGCTGGCATACTTCCTTAAGTCTGAATGTGTTGGCTAGTCTGGATATTTCAGTTCAGTTAAATTACACAGTTGTGTTTGTGTGGCTGGCTTTATTCTACAATTTATAATGTCCATGAGATGACCTGTATTTTAGTATGTGTCAGAATTCCCCTTCTTCGTAAGGCTCAATAATATTTTGTTGTATGTGTATATCACATTAAAATTATACATTCATCACTCAAATGATGACAATAGCAATTGTCAACTGGGATTTTCTAAAAAAAAAAAAAAAAAAGCAGTCCTTGTGTTCATATACTGAGAACCATCCCTATTTTTAAGTACCTGTTATAATGCATAAGCCATAATATCCACTCATTGATAAGAAAATGATTCAATATAACCTCTGTCTCATTGAGTATCCTATTTCTTAATTATTATTTTTCTTCTAGCTGCTAGACACATTGAACTAAATATTCTCGTGGACGCCATCATCCTCAGCATCCTTCTCTTTGCTCTGCTTCCCTGTGTCTACTACCATTCAGTGTGATTATCATCCTTCACACAAACTACCTTTTCTCTCTGCCTATTGTGCATACTGTCAATAGTCCACCGTTTACTTGGTTCTTCCTGAAGTTGCATTGCAAGGAGAACATTTCCCTCTTAGTATTTTTCCTCATTACTATGAAAGCAAAGTCCCTGTAATATCAGTTAGCAGTGACCTCCCCCGTGTCTTGCCTGTTGGTTCTATCCTCTTCATGTATAGTGGCAACCACACCATCCCCTCAGCATGTCACACTATTCTTTCACTCAGCTACATGCCTTGAAAGTCTGTTCCTGTGCCTGGAATGGCTGTCTTTTTCTCCTCTTCTCTCCCCAAACCCATCCCTTCCCAGACCTAGCTTAGTCCAAATTACCTCAGCTGTTCTCTCACTCCCACAGTCCTGAAACAAATGAGTGAGAGGCAAAGCTAGAAATGTGGCAGTGATTTACTGGACTATTAATACTTAACTCTGGGTTTCAGTGAAATTTAAGACTGGAAAGCCCTTGCTAGGTCACCTAAGCCGTTTCTCTTCTTCATCAAAGACTGCACCTTAACAGCTAACTAAAATAAATGTATAAAGAAATTATACAACTTTAAAGGAACACGTACATTTTGTAAACTACGCTCTGGAACCCTTAATGATGTATAATGAACCTGCTTGTTAAATTATTGTTTAAATTCCATAAATTTCCTCTCCTGAGATTTAAACTGATTTCTTCCTTTGAATTCATGGAGAAGAAGGAGATGAGCACCATATATTTTTGCTTCAGGGAGTTAAATAACTTCGAAGTTCTTGCCTTCGAGTTGAATAATTCCAGATCTTTTCACCTTTTCTTGTAGGTCTTCCTTTACAACCAATCCATTATCTTTGTGGCTGTCCTCTGAACTCTCTTCAAGTTTTCACATTCCTCTAAAGACTGAGAGTCTCTGATGAGCTGCAGAATTTCAGGAAGGATTTGACAAGTTGTCCTTGCACTAGGAACATTACCTCACTGCTCTTACATTCTCAATTCTTTATTTTGTCCCAGAACCTCAAATATACCTTTGAAACAGAATGTTTACACTGCCCATCTTCCTGTCCTTGGCTACATTTTGGCAGCCTAATGTGGTTGTTTTTGTTTTCAATTTCTCCTCAATAGAGTCAATTTATCACCTCTCCACTTTTTTCTTCGGAACACTTCACCTGTTCGAATATCATTTTATCAACTGTTCTAGTACCATTTTACCTGATGAAGATGTCATTATTTTTTTTTTTGGTTTATAGTATTTAATGCTAAACTTAAAAGTAAGCTTAAAAGTTAAGTAATGTTAAACTTAAAATCTATCTTCTAGTCATTTGTAAATGGATGAGAATTCTTAACAAATATAATTCATTGAGTAATAACAATAATAATTTTACCAGATATTCAACTTAGAATTATTTCTTAATGTTAATAGGAATCGCCATAATAAAAAAGCAGGCAATTATTTTGATTAGTTTATTGAATAATTCTTTCTAGTATCTTATTTGCATCTAGTAACTATCTTCTTACCTTTCTAAAGATAATAATTATAGGTATTTTGAAACTTTCTTCTAACTCTTGAAATTTCTTGCTTTTCTTCTTGTATTGTAGCTTCTGTGCAATATGCATATAGTTTATATGCTTGTCTGTTATTAAATTTTGTCATTTCTATTATTTTGAATATTTATACAAAGAGGATTTTAATTCAAGATGTCAGTTTATGAGTACAGTGCATCTTGATCAATGTCACCCCTCCCAAGCCCTCCCACCCCTCATATTACCTGGCTTAAAATACACAATTATGTATCATTTACACTAGCTCATTAGTTTTTTTCATTATTCTGTTAATTTTTCATTTTCAACACCATGTTACAAAAAAGAAAGCTGAGACCTAAGTAATGTGATCACTGTCTTCCATAAAGTTCCAGGAACATATTATTCCTGCTTGGTTTAAGCATGAGTCTTGATTCACACCTGAAACTACATTTCTACATAATCATTCTTCAGACTGCTAGAAAAAACAATGTCTATTTAGAGGCATAGTAACATAGTTTTCAGGGGGAAAAAAATAAAACATGCTTCTTTTTACTCTTTAAATAAATAAAAAAAAAAAAAACTCCAGCTGGGAAGAAAAAGGGATTTGAATCTCTGGTTGCAGGAAAAACAAAACTAAGTGGAGATAAATGGCAGAAGGACAAACAGGCTGAACCTTTCTGTCTGCAAAAAGGAATTACTCAGCTGCTAGAGGAAAGCTCAGTTCCAGACCTTATTAGCAGAAGGAAGCAGAGTGATGCCTTACATTGATAAGATAAGCAGAAGCTTACAAGGATAAGCTGATAACCAGGACAGCTTTAAATTCCCTGAAGCTTCTGTGTGTGTGTGTGTGTGTGTGTGTGTGTGTGTGTGTGTGTGTGTGTGTGTGGCCAAGCATTGCATTAAGGTTGCATTAAAAAGCAGTGCATAAATTTAGCAAATTAATATGCTAGGTAATTCAGTTTTCTTCAATTATATTTCTATTAAAGCTAACACATAAATGGTAGTGATTATTATTTGGCTCAATTTTTTAAAGTATTATTTTATATAAAAATTTGCTAGGGTAGAACCATAATACAATCTATGCAATACTAATTGGATACCCTTGGAGTTCCTCTCAATGAACTCCTACTGGCCCACCTTGAATTTCCCCTCTTACACAGCAGAAAATGCAAGCTTAGACATCAGGACAAATTAATTAAGCCTTACATTCCATTCAGTTCAGAAAATATTCTGAATACCAATTAAATTAAAGACAGTATATTTAAGTTTGGACTCATTCCAGGGCACAAATTATTAAGCATTTTTAAATTTTATCATTTCAGTATTCCATGGCAGGAAGCACAAATGGAATGGATCATTGTTTTATTGTTTTTCTTTGATCCATACAGATTAAGTTCAGAAGATTGTAGGTATAATAACGACTCTAAATATAGTGTAAGTCTGCGATGTATATACATTCGCTATTAATAAATGCCACAGACAAAGTTTTTC